AAGGGACGCCTGCCTCTGGTTCTGGTCTTACATTTATCCTAGCCTGGCTCGGTTTGCGGCAGGTTTCTTGCTCATAATCCTGGGTATCATCTTGATAGTCAAGTGCTGCGTTTTCGTAGACGCGGGACTGACTAATCGTGTATGCGCTAATGATTGGGTTAGAGTTCAGCTCTGTGCTTGATTTGGAAGAGGTGTTAGATTTCAGAGATGCGCAATAACCACGCTTGCAACAAATCATAACCAGAATCAAGATGATAACAAGTGCAGCTGCTCCACCTGCTGATGCACCTACAGCCAGGGCCGTGATGGATGCAGCTGGGTTTGCTTCTGTCGTTAAGCCACTAATTTGTTGTGTCGTAGAATCAGTCTCCCTGAGTACTTGAATTGGCCCAAGGAAACAAGAATGTGTCGGGGAATTGTTCATCACAGATGAAATAGTGCATTCGAAAGTTAGATTGTCATAGGAAGTATTAATTGTTAGATTTAATGACCAGAATGATTTGCCGTTGATGATTACTGGTGTTGACCACGTCTGCGATGAGGGAAATGGAGAAATCATGATTGGGTGGTTCCCAGCGTCGGATGAACATTGCATAGTCAGGCTTGTTCCATTGTTTACTGTAATGGGTCCATCAGGGGTGCAGATAGGGAAGGACTCATTGGATGAGTACACTCTCAGTCTGATGGTAGAGTTGGCTAGAGTCAAGCTTCCTCCCTTCTGCAAGGGAGCTATGACGTTACAGATATATTCATTGTCGTCACTCCATTGTAAATCAGTGATGTTGAAATCTTGAGTAGTTTCTCCGACACCTGTCTGCTTTGTCTCAAACATAAATCGATTATCAGTTCCTCCAATAGTTTGGTTACCCCATCTGAGTGATAGGGTTGGGCCTTGAGTCTCCCACTCGACCAAGTGGTCTTCCTCCAGGTTTGTAGCGACACACCTCATTTCAACCAGCCCACCGATCTTCCAATCTCTCTCCGGTGTTACGATCCACGCAGTCACTGAAGGTTCTGAACTAACAACCATCCAGAGTCCACTACATAACAACCAGGAACACAGCAAGTAAGCTTGATCCATTTTCATGTTTTTGGTGAAAGAACTTCTGAAATCCGATTCCAACAATTCGGATAAATTTTGCAGTAGGACTATCTGAAAAAGTATGTACATGTACAGTGCAGCAAATCCGTGTGGGATAACTCTTAGTCATTCTAGAATCGTTTGTGGCCGTGTACAATTCTGTATGCCGGCTTTATACACCAATGAACTTCAACAATGAAGAGTTATGTCTGGCTCTGTGTTCATATTATATTATCCTGGGTCAGAAGTTTGAATTCAGGCAAAAGCAGATCGCAGAATGGTCCAGCCCATGCATTGCAACGCATGCACTACAACAAACGAAATCGGTTACATGAAGTAAACTGTGGGTACCATGCACAATATTTCGGGTATTGACACGAATATAATATAAAATCAGGGCTCTGGAATATGTAATTGCCGAGCTTTCTGTAACTGAGTACCTTCTTCAGGGCAAGGAGCACTGATTTTATATTATATTCTTGTAAATATTCTGATCACGGTGCTGCGCAGCCCTTCCATATTTCACAATATATTGAGTATGTCGGATCGGTACAATGTCCATCTAAATGATCGTATTTCGGTCAGCTATTCCAATATTCACAGCGTAGACTGTGATGGGACTCACGAAAAACTTGAATTACATGGCTTATGGTATATTATACACAATCCCCTATACTGAGGCTGCTAATACAGCCGTTTCATAATAGTGCGCCACTAAGAGTTGGCCAATCACAATGCGCGAAATTTGTCCACCCAATGCGCGTTTGGAAAGGGTCGACAACTTCCGTGCGTTATGATTGGCCAACGCGTTGCAAACTCTTGGTGGCGCAATATGGTGAATCGCCCGTAATATTCGTTGCTTCCTGTATTTCTCACTGACCTGTGCATTATTGGCGACCGAAATTATTTTGGCGCGGCTCTGTCGACCGTAAGCTTAGTCCGCCTCAAAACATAAAAAAGACACTGAACAGGCGTTTAAAACCAGAAATACACCCTAGAAAGATCAACGAAGCGATGATTCGACCGTCGGTCCTCATTGCCATCTAATAAATTTGGCCTGTGTGTTTTAGCACTCTTTGGTGTTCATTTAATCGGCATGTGCTGTTGTAGTTTTAGAGATATTGTGATGAAGTGCCTTGCACAAGTAAATCCGCAGATGAATTACTTACAAACGGCATGAACTGCCAATCAGGTTTATAGTTCATTTTCAGGAATATTATTTCCGTGTATGGGCTTTACGTGCAAAAATGTAAGAGACCAACTGCATTGAATGGACTGCCAATAATAGTACCGTATGAGCAATACCAAACTGCGTCACTGCCATTGTCAAAACACGTCAACGGGTGAGGAATTCAGAGGTGCGGTCAAGTCTGCATACCAAATCAAACGCACATTGAAACTACTTTATTTCCTTTTATTTATTGTCGAGCAACGTCAACGTTGGAATCCAAACAATGCTGAGTAATGCGACAGTGGGCTTCACCAGTATCTCAAATTGACATGTCTATAAAGGAACATAAATGAAACAAAAGAAATGCCCTGCAAGATGGCTTCAACGCAAAGCCTCCATACGTACTGTACAACTCCGATCGCTTGCACCAGAAGCATCTACTAACCAAACCTTTCGCATCAGAAGCCAGGCTTCTCTATTTTAAATCAAATTACTTCCTATGGGCGCTACGCACTACTGCAATGGGGAGTCGATGCAATAACGGTAGTATTCTCGAATAGTGCTATAGTTATCCGCCTCGCACAGAATCACCCCCTCGTCGGTTGAAAAGAGCCACGTTAGCCTGGAGTGTTCGATTTATTGGTAGCGATGCGACATCACACATGCACTTCCTAGTCGTCCGTTCACCAACGATGTTCAGTTCTGATCTAAGGAGCCTCTGTTGCATAAAATAGCGCCATCTCTTGGTCCAGCTGGAGGCTCGTAAGGTCACACTGTTTCCAGGAACACCACCAGAAGCTGCTTCGTACATCAACCCAAGGAGAAGCTTACCGACAAGTCTACTAGATTGGAACTGACGTCAGCATGATCCAAGAATGGTACCTAACGACCACATGCTGTTATGCGCTCACGATATTGACGGAGAATCCATGAGTCTGAAATCGTGGGCGTGAATACGCATGCGGGAATCCTTAGCATTGTCACGAAGTTGTGTGGATCATGATCGAATAATCATGTTAGGCCTACGGAACATTACTAACGTGTTAAACTTATCTCCAATCAATCAGGGAAACTCTGAAACTCTCTCGCACAGTGGTTGTCTGTGCAAGGGATGGGGGGATGACTTTAAAAAAAAATTCACTTGCAGTGCCAAACATCTAATATACAGAGACTCCCACAATTTAATAAAAAGGAGAAGCAATAACTCTAGCAATCATGATCCAATTAAAATATCATATGCAACATGCTGTGTGAAATAGCGATGGCTAGGATTACTTTAAATTGACATATATTATCGGAAGAAACAAACATTTAAATCGCATCCACGAGATGTCCTGTCTGATTTAATTCTATATTTAATATCATTTTTGTATTAAAAAAAANTGGCCTTAAACGACTATGAATGCTTCAGCAATAAATAAAGTGCTTGTGAAAATGGCCGAGTATTTTTTTCAACTTTCATAGTTTTCAAACGATAACTATCTTCGATGTTTGCTCTATCTCCGGCTTCGCTTCAGGTAAAGCCCGGGTTGACCACGTGCATTTATTAGCCTACTCTTGAACATTACGCTCTTAATGAAGTTTCAAACTGCAATTAGTCGATAGCGGCTGCTGATTTTGTTACATTGGGAACAGTGGGGGCGCTATATTGGTGGCGGCGGCGGCGGCGGTGGTGGTGGTGGTGGTGGTGGTGGTGGTGGTGGTGGAGGCCGAAGTGGTAGTGACAGTAACGAAGGCTGCGAACGTGGTGATCTTCCTTGATGTGAAACACTTGCTGAAACATTTGCTGGTATCTCATGATCTGGGATCATCGGAGGTTGATCTGTGTTCATGCTGGAGAGTGGCGATACATCCCGATCGGTGACGGTTACAAATCCGTCTAAATCTTGAGCAGACGCGGAGGTCGTCGCTGGTTTCTCCATCTTTGTGACGACTTTATGTCTTCCCTGATCAGAAACGGGGCTTTCCTGATCAGCGACAATCGCAGACGTTTCCTGACTTGTAGAATCGTTTGGGATCTGGCTTTGAGCTGGGCTCATGACCACACTGTACAGGGGGATGCTGCAGGTATCCGAAACTGATTTGCCATCATCGATATCTGTGATTGCGTAGGCATAATCTGTGACGCCCTCTTGTGTCGTGAAGATTTCCAAACTCATGGCGCGCTGGTCGTCATACTCGTTGGATTTGGGATGAACATGCGCGACTGAGGAGGATCGAGACGACTTTGCTTTCTTAGAGCTGAACATCCCTGCAGGAGCGGTTAACATGAGACATGCTATCATGCACAGTGTGATGAGCACACCGAGCGAAGAAGCAAGGGCTATTACAGTGGTGTTTTGAGAGTTAGGAGGAGACTCGGAGATAAGATCGACTGCAGTCGTTAACCCCGAGGATGTTTCCACTGTAGAAGAATGCTGGGGCGCAGCTGAGGTCTCAACGCTGCTTAAGATGAGAGGGCCAATGGTGCATGATTCCTTCAACGCTGGGAAGTAACGCGGTGAAGTGATGGTACATATTAAGGTCACACCTTCATCTTCAAGTCCTACCGTCAGATCTGAAGACCTGATGAGATCGCCGTTGGTTTCTGTGGCAACGAACGTATTGGTGACATCCTCCGAGTATCGATGCACAGTTATCGTCACCGCTGGGCGGCCTGGATCGCTCCTACAGCTCAGCGGGATCACATCACCGACGGATACGACTACCTCGCCGCTCGGGTTGCAAACAGGAGGACTGGTCGGAAAATAAGTGTCTGTGACATTCAAGATGACGCTGTCTGTGGCTTCAATGCGGCTCCCACCGCCATCTTTGAGGGATCGCACATTGCAGATATAGGTACCAGTGTCACTCAGTCTGAGACGAGAAATATCCATGTGCTGAGTAATGACACCTGTCGCCTGGTCCAAAGCCAGCTGACTTACGGCTATATTGTTGGTGAAAGACACTCCGTTCCAAACTAGGGTCTTGTTTGGCGTTCTCCATTCAACTACAGGGTCTTGGGCTAGGCTTACGCCGATGAAACTACACCGTAGTCTCGCCTCACTTCCCAACCTTACCTCGAAAGCAGGTGTAACGACCCTCAAATTCACCGACACCGACTGTGCCAAGACTAATACCTTTGCGTTCACTAAGGTATAGAAAACGAAGACACCTACTACGAACTTCATCTTAACTTAATCCAATTGGAATTTGTAAGAAATAACAGACACTCATCAGATACTGCTGCATCTGAGGAGTTCCTTCACTCTGAAGATTCCCGCAGAACATTCCTCGTTGCTTTGCAAGACAGTACTTGTTCCAGTGTTGTTAAGGATCCATGTCCTGTGAATTGCAGCTTTTTTAAACAGATCGTAGAGGCTTACACGATGGACTGTTTTCTTAATGAACAAGACAAGCAGTCCTGCTTTGGTGGCTTGCGGTATTTGATCCAGATCCGGAGTACTTCAACGTCCTGGTGATGACTACCGAGCAGTAGTTTTAATATGCTGAGATAGAAGTAGAAAGGACTTCAACTTAAAAGACTTGTTACCTTCTCATTCTTTACTCGAAAGCAAACAATCGATGACATCTGCTGCTTGTTCAACCGCTGCGTCATCGATTAAAGATAACAGTCAACTTCGGTATTCCAAAAACAAGTTTGTTATTGTTTGCCTCTCAGTGAACAATGGTGACCTTTCCTTGGACGTGTTGCTAGTAAGTTCCCATTATTCTGGAGAATGGGAGTACCCATTCACTTACAGCTTGTCAATCATATTCAATTGTCGCTGCTCGCTTAACCATATCCATGGGACAACAGGTAGACAAACGAACTGTGGGAAAACTCGGTGTGCCTGGAAGTGTGTACAATTGCCTAGATCGTACTGGGATCAACAGGTGTAATACACCATCATCGTCCTTTCATCAAAGCGCTCCATGATTTCTGTTGGAAATACATAGTTAGTAGGCCTAGATCCACAGAACAGTATTCAGATTATGATCCAAACGATGGAAATAAACAAACTCGAAAACTAACAAGGCAATACTGAAGCAATTAAATTCTTAATCTATTTAAAAGCAAATCATTTTTCGAAAGCTACAAGAAGCATATATCTGCTCCTATTCACTGCAAGGGGGCATGGCCAACACTATCGTTCATGATCCAGTGTATCTTCTGACCTGTTGCATCTTGGTTTCTGGTCAACAATTTGCCTTGATTGACCTTCAGTGATTCAACACCTGAGTCTGCTTGAGCCGACCACGGCGTCGTTGAATTATTCAACCCAACACACAGCTCAGCTAAAATATGAAAACAAAAATTCTGTTTCAGGGTGTAAGTAGAACGTTCCATTCTATGGTCGTACGAGAAATTTTTCCGAGTTGGGGGAATAAACTCACCACAATCTACCCACAATTCTCTGTGCACCACGCCACACCCTTCACAAATGTAAAAGATGAAATACGCGTTGGTTCCCAGACTACCAATGAATCGATTATGCAAATGAGTAGCTGTTAGTTGATTTCCAACTGTTTTTTGTTTCCTAGACAACACAAATGCATAACATATGGCAGATGGTCTGCTGCTTATACGTATAGCTTTAAATAGATTCGATTACACGAAATCGATATTGCAGAAATATTAAAGGCCTAATCATGGGAGACAATGTAGGCCTATTACTAATTAGAAAACCACGTAGAAGGTCCCTGACTCAATTAACTTTTAAACTGAAAGAAGGCATTGAATATTCGAACATCAAGAAAACTTAATCTGTTGTTGTTTTGTAAAAGAAATAGGAATTGTTTCGGGACCCTACCTTATCGTACGACTTTTTTCTTGAAACCAAAATAGTGAGGAGTATTAAAACGATTCGATTTTTGCTGTAAAACCAAAACTAGGGTAATTTGGGGGTTTTTTTGTTCGTTTGTTTCTTTTTACTTTCGTTACTTTTATGTGTTTCGTCACCAGATATGGGTTGCCATGTCCTGAATGGCAGTGAAATAACTGAAACATTTAATTCCAACTACAACAACAGTACTAGATCTTCTCAATGAATTTAAGAAATCTTTTATAATCAAACTCCACTGCATGTAAATGGTTTAGGCCTACGCGTTGTGCAGAAGTAAACTTGAATTAAAAATCACACAGTCAAAGAAATTCTTCATTTTGCAAATACCAAACACCAGGCCATTCGGCTTAGCATCAATATATGCCGATACATGTCGACCCATTGCATGTAAAGGCAGACAGTAGTGCATGTGGTGAATTTGAATCAACTACTTCATGTCAATGCACTTTGTTACAAAACCCTGCCATTCCACTGAGTGGGGTTGAATTCACATTATATACATAATGATACATACTGTACATGACGTTTTCAAAACCAAACTGCGCAATTAATGCCAAACGAACGTGAACAACCAAGGTATAGAAAATCAACAGACGGCTTTTGGAATCAGTTTCAATGCGGCGGTCCTTTGTTGCACCCTTTCCAGGGAGCCTGGGAGATGAGTTAAAGTTCGGTCCATACAAAATACATACAAATGTGTACGTGACATTTTTAAAAAATATACTGCACAACAAAATCCATGCATGTGGGAAAGCTAACACCGGTATTTTTGTTGACACCTACACAATTACAGTTCACTTGACACAGGAGGCACGCAAACAGTTTCAAATTTTGCAGGAAAAGAGTCATTGCACCAAGTTGCGATGGACTTTTCCTGTATGGTTTGGACAGCCTGGTCAACTAGTAACCGCCACAGTTGTTTTAAAATGGTTCTTTCTGCACTCAGTTTTTATAGGCTTCTTCACGTCCGATGGAAGTGAAAATGACAACGCACGTTGTTAAGCCTTTGAAACAGTCCTGGTCATCGGCTTATGGTGAACAAGGGGCTACTGTGTCATCCATCACTGTCTTGCACTGGCTGGCTTAATGGGATCAGCAAGCCCATTAGGTTTTCACTGAATCAGGGCATCCGAGTGGACCACTTCGTGTGAGAGTGCTGGTTATGTCCATGCGCACTATAAAATATGCCGGGACCTTACGTTGTCGACACAGACACTTTGTTCCTTCCATTAAGACGTGCCAATTAACCGAGCCTACCAGCATGACATAATTCACGTAAAGTTTAAATTACTCCATAATGCATATCACAGTGGTTGGAGCTTTAAAGTCGGGTGCCAAAGGTCATATACTGGCATTGTGGACGTGGTATTGACACAATGCCGTTATACTATCACGATTGTACATCATATTGTGAAGCGCTTTGGGTTTCATTGTGAGCAACGCGAGTGTCTGTTGCTGCAGTACGAGACGACTAACGCCACGGTAATAGTGCGACATGTTTCACAGACCTGCCCGTGTTGATCGGCGTGTACGCGGGGGCCGCCAGGCGGCTTACAAGGATCTTCACGTATGGGTAAGTTGTGGTTTGTCTGTTGCTCATACTTTCCGGTTAGAGGTGTGTTAGTGAACTTTGGAGGAGCATACATGCAGTCATCATGCCTCTATATGATGCAGTGCATCGAGCAAAAAGACATCTCCATATGCAATCGGGACTAACTAGGCCTATCTAGCCAGAAACTACACTGAAACTTCCATGTGTGATAGGACTATCAGGCTTGGGTTCTCAATCAAAACACATTACCGAAGACTTTTCAAGTCGAAACACCCTGAGGATTGTATAGGGCATGACCTTTGATGGTCAGAGGTAAATGGACCAGTTTTCGGGGACGTGGACGATTACATTAGCAAATGACAATAAAAACTTCGTAGAGCTAACAGAATATTCCTGGCCAGCTTTGAGCTTTTTAAAGATAAGGTCCTGAAAACATAAGTCAAGTTCAAGATCTCAATGCAAAGGGGGAATTTCCACGGGTATGTAGTTCCGGACTCGCAGAGTGAAGCCGATTGGCCAAAGCAAATCAAATGTAAATCACAAATCAGCAAGCGTTAAACATCAAAGACAATTGCATTTGCTATTTAGTGTCCTTGCGGTAAGCATGGTTGTGAAGAATAATACTCCAGATGCAGAGTATGTCGAGAAATTCAAATGTATGAGCTCCTTTAGTTTCAATTTCCAGGTTTCCCCAAAGGTGAGTCTTCTCGAACGACCTTCACCCCGGAGATCCACTTTCGCTCAACTACACTTTAATAACAAATTATAGTCACTGTCAGAATAACGGTTATACGTGAGTTGGGGGGGGGGCGGAAGAACTTTGTATCAGTAGGGTAGGCCCCAGGAAACCTGTTGTGCAATCATTGTAATTAAAATAACATAGCAGCCTCTGAGGCGCCGGTAATGAATAACCTCTATAAAATTAAAGCAAATATAAACTGCATTCAACCTAACAGTTGTAGGCCCTACATGATTGTGTCACACACAATTTAGATAAGGAAAGTAAGCCTAATTAGATAAAGTTAACGCCAGATGTTCAGTTCATTATCATATGTACCGTCCGCAACTGTTGAGGTATTGCATGTTTATCAACTTTCGTACTTTGCAAGCCCCAAGCTTGCTTGGGTTTCCCATGCACCTGTCGCCATATGGAGGTTCGAGGCTAAGTTATTCACGACAAGTTGGGATTTTTGCTTCACGAATTCCTTTGATCAATCGTCTTTGGTTTCATTCAAAATAATGAATAAACTCAAAGCCATGAAATTGTTGTTACGAGAGTTTGATGAGTTGGAAATTCTCACAATCTCGCACTCGGTCGTGCGCAAGGTGATCTAACTTGTGTGCATTTTAGAGTATTTTTCGTTTTCAAGAACGGGCACCTGGTACATGAATGCAGCACTTTAAGCGTGCACTCCGTGCATTTACGTTTTCAAGAATAGCGATCTTTATGCCACTAGTTAAAACGACTTTTCATTAAATTTTGGGCAATGCAATACATGTACGCATAGATTAAATTCATGTCAACTTTTTCCAAACTTTTTTTTGGCCCTGTTTTGTTTTCACGAGTTAAATTTTGGGTCGTGAAAACGAAAATCTGTCTATTTCGCATCAGTTGTAATATTCTCGCGCACTACCGGTTGTCACTTCCTAAAACCGAAATTTTTGATAACGCGTTTTTCATGAACTGACATCCAATTGCAGGTGAGTGCCGGTACTTCATGGTATCTTTGACGAAGTGTGGTTTGTTTGAATTATTCCCATCATTTCTGCATGGCTGTAATAGAACGGGCTGTCAAATCACTCTGCAGAGTGGCAACATGAATTTGGATTTTTTTAGCCTGCCGATGGAATTAATTGGGACCGGTTTGTTGTATTAATATTGACCTGAAGTAGTTCGGTTTAGTAAGTAATTTTGTTGGAATAATTTTTTTCTGGTTTTTAAAGCCAGAACTTAAAGCATATCATTCGTCATTGACTTCATTGTGGAGGGATAGATCCTTCTTTTGTATGTTTGCCTTCTGTTATTCAAGTTGGAATGGTTTCATGCCAATAAGCATGCCTATTCAATAGCCTAGGCCGGCCACACCACGCTGGGAATCTGTTTAGATTCTTTGTGTCTGTAAGGTTTTGTGGCCCGTGAACTGGAGGGTTTGGTTAACCCACGGAGAAAAGTCTACTCGTTCCTCCATGGTGTAACAAATAAATAAGTGGAATACCGGAAGGTACGGGGTGTGATAAAACCATTCTGTGTTTCGAGTAATGGTTCTGAAAGAACCAGTAGTTTAATTTCTTCAGTAGGGATGCTTGGTGCGATGATTTGGAGAAACTTTCATCCGGAAGACGAACAGGCAGGCACATCGTTCGAAATTTCGAGTGGAACACTGGTTGAACGCTGGTTCTTTTCAGAACCACCCGTAATCAATATAGGCCCCTACTTGGAGCACTGGTTCTTTCAAAACTCTTCATGCGCATTATATTGTTCACATGGGGTTACTGCAAACGTCGTATTTAGTACTCCCCCAAAAGAATGGCAATTACAGTGTAGGGTGTTTGCTGATGTGTGTGAAAGTTGGGCCCTCAAAGTGAAGTTGAGAGGAGACATCATTTCAGTAATGAATTGCCACCAGGAGGTGTTTGAGGGATGATCATATTCAGAGGAAAGTTTCTCAAAGTCATCGAATACACCACGGTAACCACGAACTCAACAGAGATTGCTTATGGTGGAAATGAGCTTTATTTATGCAACTGATTTGTTTCCGTTCTTCACTAAAGATGTTATAACCATTGTTATCGGTAGTTTACTGGTCTGCATCGATATCACGTCGTGCACTACTGCAGACGGCACTTTGGCATTTCATTTTATATTGATTGGTGTGAAGGTTGACACGTACATGTAAAACAGTAAAGGCTTTTTACAGTGCGGAGAGTACTTGTAGTTACTTCCTCAGTGTAGAATTTTGGTTTGAGTTTTTCTTTAGCGCTCAAGTTCACTTTTATCGACAATGACCATTTCATTATGCTCTTTGTACTGTGTTGACACTAGGTTCCTAGAGTGCACGGCTAAGTTATGAGGCAACTCATCTGACGAAAAGGTGTGAAGACGACAAATATTTCAGCTTTTTCAAACTGTGATGTTACGTGTACACCTTGATTGAAAGACAGGAGAAGCGTCGGTCCAAGATTCCTTCGGCAGCATCTCTGACAAGTCACATTTTATCAACGATGTACTTCCTCAAGAATTTGGTGCGTCTGAAGACGGTCGAATTAAACCCAGAACACGAACCACTTCGGCGATGTCTGAGCACGCTAGATCTCACACTCCTTGGTATATCGTCCATGGTGGGCGTGACTTTGTACGTTCTGACAGGTGTTATTGCTAGTACAGCGGGGCCATCCGTCATACTGTCTTACATTTTTGCCTGCACAGCGGCCATGTTTGCAGCTTTGTGTTACGCAGAACTCGGTAGCATCTTCACAAGAACCGGTTCGGCTTACGTATTCACTTACTCCACCATAGGCGAGTTACCAGCTTTCATCGCTGGCTGGAGTATAATCCTGGAATATTTGTTATGTTGTGCAGTTTTGGCCCGTGGATGGTCTGGTTACCTGGACTCAATGCTTGACAGTCGAATACAAAACTACACACGGATGGTCTTACTTGGAGGAGAGTATTGGAAGTCACCTCTATTCGCTCCTTATCCAGACATAGTTGCTGGGATGTTCCTGGCTGTTTTCGTCGTTATCATAGCGTTGGGTGCGAAAACCAGCGCGAATTTCAACAAAGCCTTTGTTGCCGTCAATTTGACCATTGTTACTTTAATAGCGATCGGGAGTTTCACGTTGGCTGACGGCAGAAACTGGTCAGACTATGGATTCTTCCCAAATGGATTTGGAGCGACAGTGTCGGGTGCTGCCGTCGTATTTATTGGATTTGTTGGTTTCGACATCATCGTCGTTTCGGCCGAAGAGGCCTTGGACAGTCAGAAGAGTGTGCCCCGTGCCGTCATTATCTCTATTGTCGTTGCTGCATTAATTTACATACTAGTGTCAATGAGTTTAACCCTGGGTGTACCGTACTATGAGATTGACCTTCGTGCCGTTTTGGCAACACCGTTCAAATATCACGGGTTGCCTTGGGCGACGCACGTTGTCGATGCGGGTGCGCTGTGCGCCATGAGCGCATGCCTAGTAAGTGCCACCTTTGCTTTACCAAGAGTGGCGTACGCAATGGCCACAGATGGTATCTTCTTCAAGATTTTCGCCAACGTTAATTCCACCACCCATACTCCATTAGTGTCAACTTTCTTCTTTGGGTCCGTATCTATAATTCTTACAATATTACTTGATGTTAACACACTGTCCAGTGTGCTGTCCATTGGTACTCTAACGGCATTCACCCTGGTAGCAGCTTCCGTCATGGTCATTAGGTACAAGCCGTCGCAACTTACCCATCAGATCCAAGATATAGCCGCATTATCATCTAAGGCTGAGGACAGTGACCAAGACACCAACACTGTCCCGGATAAAGCCAGCTTTTTAAACCCTAAGGAGAACGAACCAATTCAAGGGGGTGAACTCAGGCATCAGTTCAGGTTTCTGACCATTATGGCGCGCTGCGAGCCTGGTGTCGCCCCTCTGGTTTGTTTCTTCTCCACCACCTGTCTGCAGTTTGCGACTGTCTTTGTCATCGTCGTCTTTGGCGACAACATCAAATCTGGAGACTGGTGGGTAATCCTGCTCGTCATAGTCCTGGGCAGCTCGGCTGTTCTATTAATCGTACCCATCTTTCTCCATGAGCAAGTGGACACAAAATCTGCCTTCAAGGTAGGTTCATTTCAAAGTGTATTGTACACTGTACTTCAGATGTGCAGCTGCATGGAACCGAACACCCACCCCAAAAGAGGGGCCTTTCTATGTCGCATTTGATAACTAAAGTGCGTAAGATACCTAAAATATAAAATTAACGGGAGTCTAGGGTGTGAACTTCACATTTATCTGTATAAATAAACCTAGCTTAAGGTGAATGTAAACTCTTTTTTTCCTAAGGGAAAACATGTAGTGACCAATCTAAGTGAAGGGTTTGGATGCCTGCCCCCTGAGTGTATGAATTTAGATTTATTGTCCCCTTTAAGAAATACAGACCCCTGTGTCTCACCTCTGCAAGTTGAGCCAAGGGGAGAAGTAATTAGCCTAATCACTTTCTCTTTGCGTTAACAGGCACCATTCGTGCCACTGACACCTATACTGTGTGTACTGTGTAATATTATCCTGGTGCTGCTGCTGTCTCCGGATACTTGGATCCGGTTTGCTGTATGGATGGCCATAGGTATGTATACAAACAGTGGAACACACGTGCTCCGCTCTGACGGGAGACCTTAAAAATAGTGATTCAGTGCCGTTTACATTGATTCATCCATTCTCTGTCACAAATGGCATTGTTACGGATTGTAGAAGACAGACCAGAGCGAAAGTTGGAATATTAAAACCTGCAAAATGACGGTGATATTCATTCCGATTACTTTCTTTTTCTTAAAATAGAAGAAGTTTTAACTTCTCACACTGCCAGTGTTGCTTCCTTTGTCAACTTTTGCAGTTTGAAATTTAACTAAGTGGTACATATTTTACATGTATGTTCTTGTTCGATGGAGTTTATACACAACTTTGGCATCATGGTTACAGGAGGTATCGAAATTCTAACCAAGAAAGAGCAAGTGTGCTCCAAAATGGCGTACTCTATGTATGACCATCAACCAGTTCATTTCCCAGGCAGTAAAACCTACGGTGACTACATGTACGTATAGGCTGTATGCTTGACACGATTAACAAACTGTTCACTTTTGGACTAAGGCCTGTTGCAGACTGGAAGGAGTCCGTGAATCCGTGACCGGTGTAGAGTTACTTACAAGCAAATCACAAGTCAATTCTTAGATCTTATCTCGGGAAATGGGGATGGAACATCTATTTGCCGTTCAGAGCCAAGATAAAAACATTTCGTGGATGACTTACGGAAAAATTTTGTTCACAGTAATCGACCATAAGTTCTTCGTTAATCAACGAATTGCTATTTCACTCTTTGAAATCAACAGGTATTGTAATTTATTTGTTGTACGGCTACTGGCACAGCGATGAACGCCTGGCTGTGAAGCAGATGTCGATCCCTAAAGATCAATACTGTGTGCTGAAAAATGACGAGAATACTGCAACAGAGTGTGTCATGGAAGGATCACTCAGTATGCCACAACCCAGCAAAAACGAAACAGAAGAATTTTTGGATTAAATACTTACTCCGCATAATAAGCCTTTAATCTGTAAGCAAGCTTCACCCTGGTAAAATGACTAGGCCTACAGCTTTTTTTCACGTGTGAGCGACGTGAGGTTCCTGTTATATTCGTCTGTTGATATTTGAGGAGGGCCCTCATAGTCAGTAAAAATCTAGTCTTTTTTGCTGACTGATGAGGCTTTCCCTCATAAAAACGGGGTAAGTTTCGTAACATTTTATTTTCAAATGTGCATGTACGACTTGAAGCTTTGCTTTTCTTCCAGTGGCCTTTGAAGGAGGTAAACTGAAAAAATGTTAACAGTTCAAAAGAATGTGTAATTGTTGGAGGAGCGTTTTTTGGATGAGGCAATTACTCAGACAAAGAACGTACCGTTGTTTCATCCCAGAAATTCGCTTTTCAATACGAATGACTGGGTCAGGGACTTTAGTTCGGAAATTGTGTGTTTGCAAATTGCCAACCTGCTTTCAAATCAGTACGTACCAGCTTGGGCTGGCAATACGTCTTTCGCAGAAATTATGGCTCATCAAGACAATTTGTCCTTTTGTTTCTTTGGTATGAATCTAACATTGTAATTAACACTTTTATCTTCTGTGGCTGGTCACCCTTTCCTAGCTTTTGCTCTTGTCTATTTCTTTCTTGGATTCCTACTCCATCCCATTAACGAAGCCATCGAACTCCATCACCGACTACCACAAAATGGAAGTTGACAATTATTTGCCAAAAGAGTACCACTTCAGTACTTAAGTTCCAAAAACTCCGAGTTTTAAAGTGTTCAGCTCTTCCGTGAATTAAATCCCTGAGTCTTACAACTCCAAAAGCTCCGAAGCGTAAATTAAATGAAGTTGCCTTAATCCGATAAAGTTCATTATAAATACTGTAAGTATTTAACTGGTCCATATTCTCTTCCGACAGTGTGCTCAAGTTAGTTGCATGATTCCAGAAGATATAAGGGGAGCCTTTCTACTTTTACGTCTCTACTGTTCTTTGAACTTTAAGGCGAACACAAAAGTTGATGGATTTTTACCATGTAGAAATAGATTCGTTAATGACTCAGTCTTTGCAGGTCCGTGGGTATGTTCATTTCAATTCTATTATACAATTTATATCAAATACCAAATTTAGTTTTGCCTTTCCTATTGGTCGAGAGCCCACCACGATACATGGCTAAAGGTAGTAAATGTGTGTTAGCCCAGTCTTTTTAAGTTTTGTTTTTTACACAAACATGGATTTATTCCTTACATCAAGACGATGTAATAAAACTTGGAAACTTTGCAATGTGGTGGTATGACTTTCAAGTGGGGAAGGTGTACGGCGCGGCACCATTTTTGTGAATGTTAGGGAGACGTTATATGTTAATAGTAATATGAATTCGTTACTTTAATTGTATTCAAAATTTCAGTGTATTCAAAAATTGAAGGCTTAATGCAGAGAGCTTACAATTTTCCCGAGGACAGCAGTAAACGAAAGAAGTGTATACTTTGAATATGGCATATCCGCCGGACCGTACAATAAAATGAATCAGGCAGACTTTGAGTACGCTTTATTTCCGACGGCACTTTACCTCCTTATTTTTTTAATTTAAATTTGAGATACGAGAATTTAGCTCATTCATGATTAATTTCAACAAGTTATTATGACAGATGTATTATTCTTGTACTAATATTTACTCACAAGTTGTTCTAACGAAATAAAGACGATGATATAGTTTTGCCATCATAATCGTTCCATATGGCGGCGCTACTATCAATAAAATGCGTCCATATCGAATGAACTGCACAGGCTCGTTTGTATAACATTGGATATTGTACTCGTACAGTCGTTGTATGGATAAACTTGTATAATTATGCATGTGTACAAATGGATTACCAAACAGTGTCGTCAGACATAGTCCCGGACCAATGCCTTCTGAATGAAAGGCACAAATCACCTGACTCTTCCATGTAAATTCACCTGGCTCCACTTCCATAGCAACAGGCACGCAATTGGCCCATTAGAACGGATAAAACATTGCAATTAATGCATTAACATGGACCTTAGAACACAATTTGCTGGCAGTCATTAATTTTGGCTGCAACTCATATCAGCCTTGAGCCGTGTTTGCATTGCATTTGATGCAAACTATGGGACAGAGAGAACCCCCTCCCTAATGTGTCGGTCATTGTTGTACTGGTATCTCAGGAATTCTTTTCAGACATGGGGGGGATGTGTTAAGTGCCAATAGGCTGGAGTGTGGATAGAAATTGGACTTGATGGGGGTACCCCTCTGTCCCATTTCGTGCCTGGTATATTGCATAGGACTTTCATACCCTGGACGTTAGTCGCAATGTAATGTAAACGTCGTCCAACCTGGGCTTTGTCCCATTTCGTGCCTGGTACACTGCATAGGACTTTCAGGGGTACAACTTTCAGAGACTGTGGTCATTTTGACCCAAAAAATTATCCAGTATGGACAAGCGGTAAATTATATTTTCTAAGTTTGGTACTTCAGTCGTTTCTTCAGCAGAAATATTACAGGGTCAACCGGGGCCTCGGAAGAATTGCATTTTCAGTTTAATGTTGCAGGAGGGTTCGGTTCAGACTTCCACTTTGAAATGTGAAGCTTGTTATTTTGATCAACGTGAGCGGATCAGGGTATACCTATGACCTCTTTGGTGTGGCATACACAGTACTTTACACATACATGAAGGACATTGGAAATGCATTAATGGACTTGACAATGTACAAAACTGGCAAAACTCCCGCTTCCCTGAAATCAGATCCAACTACAATGTCAAATGGAAAGCGCCTTCGTGAATTCAACAATTTTCAGTCCTTTATGCAAATGCGGCTGTACACATTTTATGGATCTACGTGTACTTCAATTTCGTCACAAATGTTGTCCAACTTAATTTTGCAAATCAATTTCCAATTTGTTCCTAGATTTCATTATCTGTAGCTTTATTCATAAATATAAATATTTGAATACATTTCAATTACAATTACTAATTTTACGCTTCTTCTGAAAACATATTCAGGGCAAATTCCAAAAACAAAAAATGCCACAAAATGGAAAAGAATTATTTGCTAAATTAAAGATTGCATTAAAATTTATAACCTACAACAAAGTAGTTTACATATACTTGTCTTTCTTTGTTGAGTGACTCCATCAGAAAATGCAAACATAAATTGTTTTATCTGTCAATAAGCGAATTATGTATGAATGAATTCTGGCGCGACTATTAGTCTTTGTAGTTGATGAAGCACACAAGGTACCATACGAGTTGCATCCAACTAATCAGGACAGGGCTATCTTACATCACATGTGATTGGTTGGATGTTGGTGACATCATCCACAGGATGAGAGCAAAGTGGACAAGTATAGGCGGGATCTGCTAAGAAATTGCTCTGAAAAAAAAAAGGCAAAAAGAATTTTGATCCAAACTCAATAAAAAAACAAAATGTTCATATGTATTTCCTTAAAACAAAAATGTCGATAGTTATTACTCATTGCTAAGTGTAAGTGGTGTAAGCTTTTAAATGTTCCCCATCAGGTCAACATATGTTTTGATATCACAAATGCTGATATTTCAACAATAATTTGTAACAGTATAAAAGAAACAGAACTAACCTGTACACAATAGTAACAAAAGACATGCTGGCATCCTATATGCCTCGGCGTGGTTGGCCATTCACCACACACTGCACACTCCTTGTACAACCTTTGATCTCTCCTCAATGCCAGTTCAACCTTAACTCCTGCGGTAGGTGACGGCCGGAAAAGCTTTCGTTGAAGGAAATTACGGACACGTCTGAAGTTGATAAAGGGGAGAACGAAGAAAAGGAATTCGGCAAAGCCGTGCCAGAGCAGTTCCCGCGTCATGAATTCAAAGCTGACCTACAAGGAAAATAAACCATCGTAAGTATTTTCATTCATCCTACATATTTGAATAATTGAAATGAATTTTGTTAACAGAGTTGTTGAAAGGTCATACCTGTCTGGCTACCTGCCTTTGTGCAAACTGGGCCCTTATTCCTAAAAGTCGTTCATGAAGGAACTGATATCGACCATCTTGCAAGAAAACTAAGAAGTTGACTAGGGATGCCACACTTAATAACTTCTCAAATAGATACAGTGCCTTCCAAATCTGCATTCACAAGCAAATCAAAAGTTTAAAAGTTAAAAGCATTCGCTGGAAATTCTTTTTTAACATAATTCCATGGATATAAGAGGTTACATGTACACAAGACTGGATTTTGCATGTTTCTAATAGAACCTATAAAAAGGGCAAACAAATCTATTCATCAAAGTCCAATTCAGTGAGACTTACTCGTTGGAAAGCTTCAATGTGATTGGTTGAACTAGCCAGGTCAGCTGATCTATCTTGCAACCATTTTGCACCAATCAGTATGCCAGCATATAACAACCGTTGTTGTTGACTGAGGTCAGAGGTCAAAGTAGCCTCACTGCCATATTTCAGATTCATTATTCGCTGACCAAGAGTGGCACCAATTGAGTTGATTGAGAACTGTGGGAAAGAAATAAAACATTTTGAAACCAAAAAGACAGACTTAATGAATGAACTGCATAAATTCCAATTTTTTTTTAGTTTCTTAAAGTTTTAACAATACGTCAAGACACAAAGAATTATAAGTTAATAAGTCTGTCTTGAATTTCCTAAAATGAAACCTATGGTAAATAAAGTGTTATTACCTGCCACATTAGAAGTCTCAAAGCTGCATTGAGCTCTGGCTCAATATAGGCAAGAACACCAGGCTGCATGGTAAAAGCATGAAAAGCTTGATGAATCAAGTCGTCATAAAAACAGACTCCACTTGGTGCATTACTGTTTGTGTGACTTCAGAAAAACTTCATGTACATGTACTTTAATTGTGACTATTCATAGTTACACGGCTTGAAAAATGATAATGATTAAGGTTTAGTTTAAAAATTGCAGCATCTCTTGAATAAAAATCACCAAATATGCCAAATCCTCTGATGAAGATCAGTTTGGTATAAAATCCCTAGTTTCAGATTAAAATACCTTGAAAAACTGAAAGATCCTTTGGAACTGGGCTTTAAGAAGCTGATGAAGCTCACCATCCAACTGATTTGAGTCCAACTAGAGACAAAAACAGATTGGTTATTATAAGCCTTACAAGTATCACTGTTAACAATTCTATTCGGCAAATTTGGCTAAACGATATGATTATGGACAATATCATTCATTCACCTACTGTACTTCCAGAACTGTAAGGTGTATACAGACCTTTCAGATAGCCATGTACAAATTCCCATAAACACATTTTGGCTGTTTTGATTGTGCCAACTTACATGTACTCTTCCATCACAGCTATCTGTGTAACCCAATTTCATACATGCCTTCTTGGTGAAGTTACATGTCAGATGGGGATGTTTATTCACATTATATTCTCATCAAAATGGTGAAATTCTCGAGCATTTTGCCCATCCACACTACAGAAAATCAGCAGCATGTACTCTCAGTAAGTGTCAGCTGTGTCATGCGTGTGATAGCTTGACAGCTTGACCAGGTTGACCAAAAAGCCATTTGTGAGGTAAATTTGAATAAAATCTGGTACACTGAGTTCTTAAAATTCACATGAACATAACAACTTGAATTCTCCATACTATAACCACTATCGCTATACCTCGTGATTCGGGGCAAGCTTTTGCTTAGTTACATTAGAGACGCCTTCCAACAATACACTGTTCTCAATGGATAAGAACGGCACAAAAGAACCAGTCCATTCCAGAGATGGTAGTTGCAATGCAAAAGCTTGCCCCAAATCACGAGGTACAGGAACAGTGTCTTTGGTCTGGGGAATTCAAATTATTACGTTTCTGTGCAATCGGATAGCACAGTGTACCAGATTTTATTCAAAGTAAACTCGCAAGTGGCTTATTGCAACACTGCTCAGTGCTGCTCCTATGATTTCCTTCTCATTTTCCGGTCACCCACAGATGAAAGCCGCACTGTGATTAGATTGGCCCAATTTGCTTCCATTCCAGTGACCAATCATAGTTCGGTTTTCATTTTGATGAGGTCAGGAAAACAAGGAAAAGATAGGAGCTGGAAGTACAAGTAGGTCTATCAATAGATCAAGTAATAATTGAAGTATCAATTCAAGTACATGAAGTATGAACATGAATTCTGATCATTTACCATGTTCACCATCAATGGTTCACTAATTTTCGGATTTAGGTAGCTGTTCGAGCATTATTTATTAGGCAAACTTCTCAGATGAACTCACTGCAAAAAACTCCAATTTCTCCACCAATTCTCACCTGACTCACACGAAGTACAATTTGATTTCCGGGCCCAGTTTCCTTTCCCTTGTTTGGATCCGAGGAGTCCGTGGTGGCTGCCATTTTGTTTGCTGACCCGCTGTTGATCAACAGCGCCCTCAAGGGATAAAGCAAAGATATAAACAGCCGTCGGATCCAACAAAATAGGCAGACTGACCAATAAACGTGCCCGTTGTTTGCATCATTGCACACAATGCATAATTGGTTTGAATTCAAGCGCTTTGACAGCAGTGCGGTGGACAAAGTGGACGTTTTCACCTGATTTGGGGTCCTGTTTACTTTGTTTACTGAACGTGAGTGTTAGCGGTTTGTTGTTTGCTTTGCACTACTAATTCTCACCCGAGGGAATTAAATTTGAAAGCGTATTTGGACACTCGGAGCCGAGGTAGGCCTTCTTCAGGTAACTCGTCGAGTTGTCGGCCTCAAGTTCACCCCGGCCACGTTGCACTACCAAATACCATGAGTACAATTGGAATTTTAGTCTGTTGGTAAGCTACAAATCCACACACTGGCAAAACAAGCGCGATTTGTGTAGCATTATTCATAAGAAGTCTTGTAGTTTTACACGCACATGACGTAGCCTACAAATAATTTGTATTTTATAATAAAGTTTAATGCGGGTAGCTGGCCTTTCAGTTCAAATTAAACTTTTCAAAGGAGCCCTTAAAATAAATCAAACTACAGATAGGCCTAGGCCTTACTTTTTTATTTCAGTAAAATATCTGCCACTTAAAGTTTAATTGTGTCTGGTCATGCTGGTACATGCGATACATAGTTTTGTAACTTTGGAACTGTAAACTCTCTCAGTTTCTACGTCTGGATCCAATTGATGATTCTGATATTAATGGATGATGGCCAGCAGCTAGCAGACGGCCTCACATCAGAGTTGACCTCAAGACCAGGTACCAGTACTTGGTGGACTAAATCTATTTTGGGCGGGTATCGCAGATTTGAAGGAGTCACACTTTTCAATATCCAGAATACTGTGATTGAGGAAACTTGTTGCAGTGGAGGATTGTCTCGTCTACGGAAAAAAAGTTGCTTCTTTTAATATTTAAGGTTATTTTTTACAGGCCTAAATTTCACTTTTGTACCCTCACTTTAAATTTGAAATTCCTCATGTATGATGGGCCTAGGAATGGCACAGGTCAGATGCAGTGTTCAACGATTTGCCAAAAACTGGTATTCAAAATGAACTTACCATTGTCAGTACATGTACATATGTATGTTCTTTGTCCCTATCTTTTTGCTTACAGTCTGCAGCATGTTCCTTGATCATTTTTATACATTATTTATACATTTTTAAAATTTGTTTTGACAGAACCAACTTGTAAATTGAAGTTTTGTTCACATTTTGAGTCCAGCTCGGCTAAGAGGCAATATAGGATCTATGTAAAGATTCCTGCCAGACAAGAGTCATTCCTAAATCCGATCAGTACACCATCAAGTCCTGATGTAATAAATCTGTGTAAAAAACAGAGGACCAAGCACAGGAAAGATGTACAGATTTATCAAAATATTGTCAGATATTTTTGCCGTGAATTTGTGAAACGATTCTGACTTTTGCTTGAAAGGCACGGAGAATGTATGTACTGAGCAATTTTATGGCGCTGTATTTCTCAATGAGCACCATCCATGTCTGTATTTTGCACCGTGTTGGTGTTAGTACCCCCTCTAGTGTCAGGTTTTTCAGAACACTATTACAAGGGCTCTTCAGGTTGAGTTTTAGAAGGATTACAGTCATCATAGTCAGAAATCATTCAGAATTTTCTGACTTTCTGTTGGATCACATGCATTCACTGTACACCTGTAAACATGCTTGCTTTTAATTTTAAATTGTACAAAGCTGATCATGATCTAATCATGATAATCCTGTCATTTGCTGTAATTCAAAGATCTTTTCTGATTATTTGATTTGGAAAAGATCCATCGATCACAGTCAGGTTAACATCAGTAGTTTTCATCTTGTTCAGAAATAAATGTACATTGTAATTGATAAGTTCATTGCTAAATTTTCATGCTGAGTAAACCACCTTTGAACTTTCCTGTAATGCCTCTTGGACTCTCTCCCCACCCGCTGAGCCTTTGTTGCACCCATTATAGGCCATAAACACTGATATTATTGGCTTGAAACTCCCCATCCTACTCAGCTAGTCTTTTGGGGACCTTTCATTGTTCAATCTTAGTAATACTACACCTTCCGTTTATTGGTAAGAGATCAGGAGTTCAACTTCAGTCACCAGTAGGAGACAGACTTTTTTCTCGACAAACCTGACATTGAAGTTGGAGGTGTGAAGCATTTCTTTGGCAAACTTGCGCGAGTAGTTTCGGGCATATCCGTTAAATTCCAGCAGCTGAAAGCAAAGGCCGAATTGTTTCTATCTAAATGGATTCCCCTGGATCTGATGATGACAACTTGGCCACAGTGGCCAAAGACAGCAGTGACCATGATTTTGAAGGTGACCCAGATAATGAGAGTGACCACATCACCAGTGATACAGGCAGTGATGTAAGTGATTCTCTCCAACTTGTTGGTATAAGCTCTTGAGTGCAGTCAGCAGATGTGTTTCATGAGGCATGAGCATATTCACAACTTGTATGGTTCACATTCAGCCGAATCTTCAATGCAAGGCTGGTTTGGTGAGGCAGTTTCCTAATCCACTGTCATATCAAATTATAGTAGCTTGCTCTGTTTTCCAACTCTCAATAAGTTCTTTGTGCTTGAGGTGTGCCCGCACTCAGTGTGTTTTGGGGGGATCAAATTTTTAAATCGCAAGTCTTAATCCTATCTGTGTTGCATAACTATTCCAGCAGCTTACTGCAAACACTTGGGGTCGTGGATGAAAAGATCTTGTGTTTAGTCTTGCCTTCCAGGCTGATGAATGACCACACGCTTCTTTATATGGATGCACCACTGATTTTTTTCAAAGTGCTCAGCAAATTGACTCAACCACCACCTTGGCTTGGCAAGGGGAAACCTTCACTTCTAAGCACTGTCTGAAGCACTTCACTGCTTTCACAAGTTCTGGATTTTTATTAATGGATCTGATGAGGAGTGTTTTCACTGGGATACAGTTACCATGGCGATGGAGTCATCTGTAGGTGATGCCTGGTTTGTGAAGTGATGGGCACCAGAACACACACTTTTATCATTGAAATTGTGATGATAGTAAGTAAACTTCTCTCTTACCCTTTGTGAAAGTTGTGTGAATGAAATGCTTTGACCTGTACAGTGTAACTTTTGTATTAAAGTTTAAAGAAGTTTGTTTAAAGAACTATATAACTAACATGACTAAAGTGAAGCACTTGAGAATATTTTAGGCTTACGGCATGTGGCACATTTATCATGCTACAACTGGCGTGTAAACGATACAAATTTAATCAGACAGTCACCTATGAACACAAAACTTGACAGATTTTGCTGCAGTAGAGTTGAGACTAATCACAATAATCCAAAGAGAAAACAAACCAGTTGACAATTATAATAAAACAAGATTAGTTATCTACAAAACTTCAAATAAGTAGTGTATATACCTTTATTTGTTTAATCTTCTTAAAAAATAGACAGGTAGAAGTTAATGAATGGATTATCATGGTGATGGAATCAGTTTGTGGTGGTTTTCGAAGGATATAAGTTTGCCCTACATGTATTTAGTGATGAACAAAGGCTGAGAAGTATTCAACCTTCAGTTTTCTATCAACATTTGAACTACTTTTCTAACAATAAGCCAGTTGTTTTGCAACGCATTTGCACATATCCAAGATTTCCGACGTGTATTTGATTTTCATTTCTGCGTACTTCAGCCAATAACGTCAATGAGAAACTGCTATTTGCTCCCCCAACAAAAACACTCAATTTGAAAATTAACTGTTGGGCCCACAGTCGACATTTATGGCGTAGCACTGTGACAGTATTTTGTCGATTAAACCGATCACAACATCAGTGAAAAACAGCAGAATGTGGCATAATGCTCAATTTATAGACGTGCCGGATACATAAGCTGTTGCTAGGTAGAGATTTGGAGAGTTTCCAGAATGCTTTCTAGTGCGTTTTGGGCTAAGGCAGTGTTGACTGCCGAGTTCTTTAAGACCAAGCACACTGGGGCCTTGGGACGCTCAACATGTGTGCTTAACGCCAAATGCACACAGAACTCCAAACGAGTTGTGTAATTCTTTCTGGCAGTTTATACTCACACTTTATTACGTTGTATAAAGACGCAAGGTTTCATATAATTAAGTATATTGATCGTATTGGATATGTTTTCTGAAAAAAAGGGGGAGGTCCTTGCTTTTAAGGCTACAAAGCGTGTCAATTTCAATCCGATTCAAAAACCCGTCAACACGCATCTTCAGGAGTTGGACAACTGTAGACATTCATTAGCCATTTTGTTTTTGACAACACGACCTTGTGTCTTTCAACAATTTTACGTGCTACACGTACATAAATTGTGAATAGCGACACATACAAGTATTCATACAAGTATTCTAATCGTAGATACAGTTTTTATAATGGAACCAGTTATAGTCTTTAGTGCAAACAAATTATTTTGGGCCCATTTCTGTTTCAAAGAACACAGAAATCTGTGTTCGAGCTGTTGCAGAAAATTGCTTGAACATTTAAACCAACAAATATCTGGACTTGTTGAGGTCGACTCGGTCGTTTATACCTGGCTGCAAGTCTCCGTAGCTACACAAGCGGTCCTTCATGATTTTGTAAATTTTTATGCGCCGCGGCACTGACCAAATCAAATCTCAGCCCCACGCTCGACCGATTCCACAAATCCCGTCGGCAAATCTGACAGTTTCCAAGCAACGTGACGCCGTGAAGTAGCGTCCTTTACTCGCGGGGGGTCGCGTGGGTAAACGCCCACCCTAGTCACACGGCCTTATCAAGGTTGCACTTTACCCCCTCCGTCGACAGGTTCGACCTGACCGCTTGATTGATTGGCGCTTCGTTCATTCACATGAGAGTGCCATGCAGCAGGATGCTTACAATTACACTGGTTGTCTGACACTTGGTGTAATCACAATATACCTTGCGCGTGTCACCAGGCACGTAGTAATACACGTTGGACAGTGCACGGTAGGCTGCCTTCAGAGTCACGGGCGCACGGGGTGGGGGTGGATCTTAGCAGGGAAATTTCTTACTTCTCGGAAAGACTTTGCTTCTGTTGTTGGGTCTTTCACTGAATGCCCTCATGAAGTGAATCAGTCGCACTGGTGGTTGTTGTTTGAGAGTGGACCTCCACGTTGTGGACGCGAATTTGAGTCGTTTTTCGCTGAAACCGGACGTCAGAACAGGTTGTCGCGTTCCTTGTCTCAAGCGCGCCGCTTTAGGCAAGGACATCTGAAAAGTGGACAGTCTACTTTGAACTCTCTGCCTGTTATTGAAAGTTTGATATCTGCTAAAACTCAGCTTCGATATCATCCATTGTCATGGCTTTGAATGGAGATGAACGACTGGAGCGAGTTATCCAGGTTAGCATTTTGTATCCCAAAATAAAAACACCGAATGTTTACCTAAATTTTAAAGTTAACCCTCCCAACCCAATAATCCCAAAATGAATGAATTTTATTGATTGTATCACTAGCAAACTTTACACGTTTGATTTTGTTCATTTTGTTCTTTGTATTGATTTTATCTCCACACCATGTCTTGAATTTAATAGAGGGCTTGCATATGATGTCATGCTAGAGGGAATTTCTTTCTTCTTCTAGGATAGGCTCGAGTAAACCTTTTGTGCATTCATTGTTATTAAATTTAAATAACACAACATGTCCGGGGGGGCACTCCATGCAGGCCCTTTTTCTCCAAAATGTATGTGATCTACACCTAGTCTAAGTACATTTGTAACGTGGACCCAATGAAATCGGCAAGTCCCCCCCACGTCCATTTGGACATGGTTGCTTCATAGAGTCCCACTTACTCGGACTAGTCTGCATTACAAAATCATATCAGAGGTAAATATTTCAGTCATTCCATGATTTTTGGGAGTGATTTTTGGATATAAATTTTCAAACTGAAACTGTTAGGCAAACTGTGACAGTGATTGGTTGGAACCAAATTTCAAGCCCTGCTACTCCACAATTGCCACAATTTTGACCTGAATACAATAAAGCAGGAATCTCTTACCACAGATCGCATTGATAAAACACTCATTAATAATTCTGTGACATAGTGTACATCTGTTCAACACGTCGCACGCATAGGCCATAGTTGCAGCAAGATTGTAGCATCGCCATGGTTTCATTGGAGAGCTCCTCAGTTGTCATGCCTTTTATTGTCAACTTTGACTCTGCATCTTATGATGCATTTTGCTTGCCATGCACCCTCTTTGTTAGATGACACAATGACCTTAAGTATACCCAGCAAGCCCTCCTCAGATCCAAAGGATTAGTAATCCTAATTAGAGTATTGTAAGCAAGGCTGCTGATAATTAATTGAATCAGCTTGTAACAGGTACTGTATGAATTTAGTTGCGAATGATGCCAGATGCTGGCGTTCCACAGTTCCTATAACTCACCAAACTGCTTGCTACAGTAGCATATGCAGTGGTCAGTTGATATTGAATCCAGTGAAAAACTGTGCAGAAATTGTTGTATACATGTACATTCATGTATCGTGTCTCGTCAAAAAATCTCTGGGGGAAAGTTAATAGGTTCATGCTATTACAGGTAGATCTATTTGTATCCATTCTGATGAAAGTTTACGTGCCCTGTATCTTCAGTATGTGTCTGCTTACCACCCGGAAAGAATACTAAATTCTCTAATAATACTAAAAATATCAGCATTTGTATGAATTTCATCACATATGCTGTGAAACAGCTTATGATTATTTGGTTTGGCTTTGACAGAAAATTTCAAAATTGCATTGTTACCGCCAGTACTTCCTTTTGTTGTCACGAATAATAAAATATTCAAGAACACTTGTAATTTAGCTCAGCATCAATTACGCTAATTGATGTCAACTACTCCATTGTCGCTAAGAAACCACTGTGGAGCCTGGAGGTATCTTGTACTCTGCTTGGTGTTCTGCCCAGTGCAAACAAGCATGACAGGCTAGAGCGAATTGGTTCGGTGCTGGTGCACGTGTGCAAAATATTTCTGGTTAACCAATTCTGTCCATCCAATGCTGTGCACTTGTCTGTATTCATTATCCATGTTCCGTAATTCTTTGGTGCAAGATACGTAATATATGGATTTGTAAAGACCTTGAGCTTCACCTCACGCCTGTAGAAATATGACCAATATAATTTATGGATATACATGTACATGTATGCTTCCTGTCTGTAGTGCGTCTCTTCCTCGTTTTGCACTGGCTTTTTGTCGCTCAGGGTAAGTGTGGCTGAATCTGATAAACAGAACAGGAAATGAAGAATGTGGTCTCTTTTTTTATCAAACAGCAACATGGTAGAGCAGTCGTGACTGGTAATAATCATGTTCAAACTGAAAGCTTAGTTAGCATTGAGGGAAAAACTGGTTAGTTCTGTGCTTGACATTATGCACATGATGTATAATACACCAGTGCAAGGAAGGGGTATAACACTGCCAGCAGGTTGAAGCACTGAGTGTACACATTCCTACCTCCTATCATGGAGCTGCAGCCTCCATGTTGTCACAAGTATGGTAC